AAGGAACTCACATTGGGTTTCTGCCAAGTTTGGGACAGAAGCATGGTTTTGTGTCCATTCAGAAACACTAGTCTATATGTGGCCAGGCTCTGCATTCATCACTGAGAACCTACTCTGTGCCTGATTCCACTCAGTGATGTCCATAGTGACTAAAGGGAAAGGTGAATTGATGAAGATATGCGATAATGGATTAACTTCCATCACTGTAGTGTCTTCACACAAGAGTCACCAACTGTCACCTACCAGGGACAGACCAAATCACACCTGCTGCCTGTTTTTTATAAATGATATTTTACTGGAGCCCAGCGATGCCATTCATTCACACACTGTCTGTGGCTGCCTCCACACTGTACTGGGTAGTTACAACATACAGTTGGGAAATTTTTAAAAGAGCCCACTTGACCTTGAATATCTAAATATCTCTATCTTGTCCTTTATGGAAAGAGCCAATTGTGTTAGACACATATTTTTCTTTTATGTACAAACCAATGCAGGCAGATTGTTGAGGGCTAGACTGACCTACTGGAGCTTTTCCTGAGGCCCTGATGTTTGGAGAAGGAACATAGTTTCTTCTCAAAACCAGAAACATGCTTGGCAGAGCTGGTAATAGCCTGGGACCAGGGTCTTGGCAGCTTTTCCTGGAGAAAGGAATATGGAGGTCTCCTCTGTGTTGTCCTAGCCCATTAACCAGGACTCTGTTGTCTCTCTGATCCAGGCTCCACGCAGACCACCAGACAAGAGCTGACCTTGAACTTCAGACATATTAAGCTCTTGCTGCTATGGATATGACTAAAGCAATCCCATGATTTCTCTCTCCAGAAAAGCCAGGTGTAAGCCATGCTGGGATGCTCACTTGTGTGCTCTATGATTTTCTCATGGTTTGCACACTGGGCACAACCTCAAGAGTCTTCTTGGGTGAGCTCCTCATGTGAAGAATTTACTCACATTTGCCTTCTAATCACCTCTCTGATTCATCATATGAATTATTGCAAGACTGTAGAGATATGAGACCTGTGACAGATTCTAAACACGTTGTGTTTAGCTGCTGTGGCCTACCACCTGCACCTTTCTGTAAATCTGTAAATCCTTTATGCTGGAGAATGGTCAGGATAGTTCAGCTGCTCATACCATTCCTGATTTAGCCAGACAGGATTGTCAACTGGTGTTCACTGAAACAAAGCCTTCCGGTTGACAGTCAGTGTGTATTACTTATATTAAAAAATTTGTTTACACTCCTGTATTTGTGATTACATTATGCAGGATGGAAGAGAAATAAAAAGTAAGAAGGATATTCATCAGAACTTGTTAAATTTGGAAACCAAATTTACAAATAAAGGAAGTTTCCAAGAGTGCTGGATGCAGATGAGATGGTCAGGATCAGTTCTCAGAAAAAAAAACATTACTTTGGGGGGAAAAAGAAATAACAAGAGTGCTACCAAAGTTTCAGGGAAAATCAATAGTAAAAGCAACACCATAACATAGTTTCATAAAAATTTAAAACCATAAGAGGGAAAAAAGAATTCTGCAAGTTTCCAAGCAGAAAAGAAGTAGGTCATTTTCATGGAGCAAACTATCAAAGTGGCTGTGGCTTTTTCCATTGCAGCGATCAATCTGAGATGAGAGATGGTGACATCTTCTAGGCAAAGGACAACTGCTACTCAAGAAAAGTGGACCATGTGCATGGAGAAATATGGAGAGACAGCTCTTAGAAAATGTGGCAGGCAAGATGCTTTTGAAAAGATTGCTCAAGGCTGCAATATACAGTAAGCAAGGCTAGAACAAGAGAGAGCATTTTGAGTAATAACCAAAATGAGAACCTATGATGATTGTTGATACCCACCATTGTAAGACAGGATAGCTGTGTGTGCTTTCTGGCACTGGATTCAGGCCTTGAAGACACACAAAATAGAAAGATCAAAGAAAAAATTGAGAAGTGTCAAATTTAATTACAAATGAGGAATGAAACGTAGAATTAAGAGACACAGACAAACGGAGTTGTACCTGTGTCTTTCAAAAGTGAGAGTAAAAGCCAATTACGCTGGTGTATTTGGGAGGCTAAGTCAGGGGCTTTCAATATCCAGACCCTGTCTCAAAGAACAAAACCAACAAACAAACAAACACCCCACCAAACTAAGCTAAGGAGTCTTGATGAGAAAACTGGGGAAGTAGAATGCTTACAGAATGTTTTAAGATGAGCACATGATGGCAGGGTATGGTAGTGCATGCTTTTGATCTCAGCACATGGGAATCAGAGGCAGGTGGGTCTGTGTGAGCTTGAGGCCAGACAGGTCTACATAGTGAGTTCCAGGCCAGCCAGGGCTACATATGGAGACCTCGTATGGTGGTTTGAATAAGAACGGCTCCCATAGGCTCATAAATTTGAATTCTTGGTTACCAGGGAGTGGCACTTGAAATGGAAACTTAAAGGTTCTTTGGAAAGTCAGTTATGTTAGATGGTGTTTTGCTGGGGCAAACATGTGAAGGAACATTTCCTTGAAGTGGACACAGATGGAAGGCTAAGACAGACTTGTGAAGAAACATTTTGCTGAAGCAGACACAGGAGAAAGGATGTTCTGCTAAAGCAAACATGTGAAAGGACACATGATGAAAGATTGTTTGCTAATAACATGCATGTATTAATCTGTTTTAAATCGTGTAGTTGATCTACATTTGTCAGGACTCCATAGAGAGAAAAACGCACCAAAATCTTCTGGTGATGTGTTGAGGCTCCCCCCCCCCCAACTTCTGTGACTTGGGCCAATTGGCAGACGTACATGCTGAGGCAAGACCCACGGAGGGCATGTAATGTTTGGAGGGATATAAATAGGATTCTATGGACAGTGACGGAGGCTGAGCTTGGCTTGCTTATAGAGCTAGCTGTGCAATGCTTGTTGGTCTTGTGTCTTCACTGATCTTCATTTCACTGAGAGAGGCACAGTAAAAAAAAAAAAAAAAAAAAAAAAAACCTTCTCCTGGCGTTCCTCCAGGCCCTTCCTGCTGACTGAAGCTGAAGCTGAGGCCTGGCTGTCTTGGCTAGGTAGTGCCACCAATACTGATTCCTGTTTGCCATCCTGACTTTACCGAACTGGACTGCTGGTGTATCTGTGAAGTGTTTATGAGTGGATTGAGCTTCCACTGCTGACCTGTGGACTGAACTGCTGATTTCCTGACAACACAGACAGGATTTACTCCAAAGAACCTTTCTAAACAGGTCCACTTTCCGCATATCCTTTCTTTCTACTACCTCTGGTGGGTGGTGGACTACAAGAGAAGTTAAAGTGTTTAAGAACCATCATTAAAAATAGGATTTGAAAAAAATTAAAGTTACAGGCACTATTTGAAAGGATTAGGAGGTGTGGCCTTAGAGGAAGGGTGTCACTGGGTGGGCTTTGAGGTTTCGAAAGCCCAAGCCAGTCCCAGAGTCTCACTCTACCAACTCTCAGTTACTTCTCCAGCATCTCCATCTCTGTGGTAATGTTCCCCCTTTCATTTTTGATTTTTTTCATTTGTTTGTTTGTTTTGAGACAGTCTTGGGTACTGGCCTTGAGCTCCTCACCCTCCTGCCTCCGAGTGCAACATCATCCACAACTCTTTTAGTTTGTATCTGAACACCTCTCTCTCTCTCTCTCTCTCTCTCTCTCTCTCTCTCTCTCTCTCTCTGTCTTATTACTTTAGCTAAGGGGTTTTTGGTTTTGTTTTTTTGTTCAAAAATCAAATTCTATACTTTATTATTCATTGTAGTCTAAAGTCTCTGCTTTGTTTATCTTGCTCATTCTTTATTTTATTTTTCTTCCTTTACTGTTTTTAGGTTTTATTTTTGTTTTTTTTTTCTAGTTTCTTGAGGTGTGATGTTATTAACTTGGTGTCTGCCTGACTTTCCCTATCTAGCTGTCTACCGCTATCGACTTTTCTTCACACTGCCCTTGCTGTGTTTTCATTTCTGCTTCAAGAAATATTAAATATCATTTTTAATTTCTTCATTGACCCATTGGTCATTCAAAAGTGTACTGCTTTATTTCTATGGTTTGTACCATAGTCAATTGTGATCAGAAAAATTACTCGCATGATTTAAATTTTCTGAAAATTTAAGACTTGTTTTATAGTCCAACATATAGGTTCATCCTGAAGAGTGTTCCATGTGCAGTTGAGAATTATTTTGGATATAATGAGTTTACTTGTTTGAGACAGAGTGTGGCCTATCCTGGCCTCAAATTCATGCCTTCCTGCCTCTGTCTCCTGAGTTCTGGTATTACAGCTGTACATCACCAACCTGGTTTTGGTGAGTTCTAGATCAAATTAGAGAGTTTGTGGACAGCTCCTGAGGAGTGACACCCAAAGTTGATCATTGATCTGCACTCAGATGCACACACACAAGATGTTAAAGGCACAGATAAGAAAAAAAGAAAAAAACAGACACATGGTGATAAATTAAACCAATAGGCTGGCCTGTAGCAAGACCCATATGGCGAAAGAAACAACCAACATATTGAAGAAATGCCTACAGAATTGGGGATATATTTGCAAAGTATTCATCTGACAGGGGATTGATATCAGAATATGTAAAACTTAATAATAAAAAAGAACCAAATAATCCAACTTAAAAGTGGGAAAATTACCTGAAGAGGCGGTTATCAAAGGAAGAGATACAAAAATGTTAAAGGAAGAGATACAAATGTTAAACACGTGTCAGAAAACATGGTCAGCATCTAATCAGAGGGAAATGCAAGTCCAATCCACAACAATGTATCTCATTCCTGTTAGATGGCTATAATCACAGAAGTAACAGGCACTGCTTTAGGTGTAGAGAAGGGAGATCTTACAGACTCAGTGCAAATCTAAATAATACAACCATTGTGGAAAACTGTTATGAGAATCTTAGAATAAACAACAAAAGAACAGCATCAACAAAAAGACTAAGTGACCCAGCTATCCCATTTCTGAACATGTAGTCAAAGAAAGTCAGCATATGAAAGAGACTCTGCTCTTCCATGCTTATCAAAGCATCATCCATAATAGTAAATATATGGATTCAATCAAGGTGTCTATTGATAAGTGAGTGCATAAAAAATGTTCTGTCTGTGTGCAGGGACATACCAGTCACTTGGAAATAATTGTCACTTGCAGCAACATGGATGAACCAAAGATCTCAGTGCTAAGTGAAACAAACCAGTTGCAGAAGGACAAATACATTGTGATTTCTCTCATATGAAGAATCTAAGAAGCCTAAGCTCACAGAAGCAAAACAGTAATTACCAAAGGTAAGGAATGGTCAGAAAGTGCAAGGGTGGTTAACAGATACAGAACATTCAGACAGGAGAAATATGTTCTGGTGTTCCAGGTGGGTGACTACAGTAACATTATTATGTCATCTATTAAAAATATCTGGAAAAGGTTGTATTTTTAATGTTCTCATTCCAAAGATATAATAAATGCTTGAGGTGATGGATAACCTAAATCTCCTGTGTTGATCAATATATTATGTATAAATGTACTGAAACATCACACTGCACCTCAGAACATTATATAATTAGTAACTCTCAAGAAGAATACATAATTACTTTGCATAAAAATGGCATTTATTTTTACAAAATACATTTGTCATTCCAGGTGAATGCTTGAAAGTAGGTCTTCTAAACTGGGCAGCGTAACATAGCACACATCTGTTATCTCAGCACCCAGGAGCCTAATACAGAAGGAATGTAAGTTTGGGGCCTGCCTGGGCTATACAGCAAGACTCCAGTGGGAGGGGGAGGAAAAGGGGGGTTATCAACTCACATCTCTATATCTCAGCATCTTGGAGGTCTAAAAACCCTAAGTAAGTCAAGGATACTAGATTTCAGGAGAAAACAAGTTATTTTAAAGAAGGCATAATGTCAGGAAGCACATAACTGATTAGAGACTATGGTGGTTTATATAGATTGTCAACTTCACAGCTCCACAAGTGCCTGGAAGACAAAGCTCTGGGAATGACTCTCTAATTGAAGTGGATATGCCTTCTGAATTCCAGGGGTTGGGGTCCAGGACTGAATATGAAGGAGAAAGAGAGTTGAACGTGAGGATCGTGATTCTTCCTTTCCTTCCTAACTGTGGGCACAATGTGACCAGCTAGCCTCCTGCTGCCATGCCTTCTTCACCATGAAATAATATATCCCTCTAACTGTAAGCCAAAGTAAGCCCTCCTTTCCTCATGCTTCTTATGTCTGGTGTTTGATCTCAGCAGCAAGACAAGCACCTAACATAGAAATTCAAGAACAGGTTTTATTTTGCCTCAAAGAATGTCAAAGAAGAGATAAAACTTCTAGTATGTGAACAGGATTCCTCTCCTGAGCACAGGTACTGCCCACTGGGTGGTGAGAAAGGAAGTTGTAGCAGCCTCTGTGTGGAGCCATTTTGCACTGTCTATCCTCACAGCAGGGGAATGTGGGACAGTGGACTCTGAGAGGCAGCTGGATACCTGGTTGAGCACGCTTTGAACCCCAGAGACCCTCAGGGATGGTAGGAGTTTGGCATTGATTCTAGGCCCCCTGGTTCCTTTTACATAGCCACAGCCCTCTACAGCCCCTTCCACAGAGAGGTTTATGGCCATCGATCACATAGCACAGGTAGAGGGCATGACACAGGCCGAAGAGCCTCAAGACATCTCGATATTCATGAGATACCTAAAGGCCAGAGGGCATAGCCAATTGAGCATTCCTTCCCAGACCCTCCTCCTTGCAAAAGGCCCCCTGCTGAGAACACAGGGTATAGCTTCATCCACTTTCCTCCATGACAATAAATACCATAGCCTAAGACCATGGATTACCTCTTTTCTTTGGGGCCCACCGTGGGGAACTGTGGATAAGGTCTTCAACTACGGAGCCACCATCTAATCTCTGGCCGCTGACCTCTCTACATTTGAGCCACGAAGGCTGCCAACTCAAGTAAGCTAGCCAAGCCAGCTGAGACCCAGCCAATCAAGCCCAAGGGCTTGAGAGCAATCAGTCCCCGGCCACCTCCTGGCCTGGGGATCCCCAACCCAAGAGCCTGGAGTCCACCCAGTGCATCGTGGAGTGAATGCAGTCTAATTCCTGAGTCTCTGCCACCCTGAGCTGTGGCCCCAGCCCCTTGGGACAACAGACATGGGACCCATAATTCAGCCCAACAGGACCCACATCCATGTGTGCACCACAGCCCAATAGGGGAAGAACTATCCACAGGACCCTTGCTTCTGTGCCATGTTCTACCCCATTTTCCACATTTTAATAAAATCTTGGGTGGATCCAATAGTTTTTCTGGGCACTTTCAGTTACTACTGAGCAGTTTTACTTTCTAGGTACTAACAATTTTGGTCCTGGTTCATATTGAGAAAAAACAATATACCCTGATTGCACTCTCCCCTCCTCCAACTCCTTCCAGATCCTCCCCACCCAGCTCAACACTCCTTCATTCCTTCATTGTCTCTCTTTAAAAAACAACAAAAACCAACCAAAACAAACATAACAACAAAAGAAATTCTCTCACTCACATAAAAGCCCACACAAACAAAAAGGAAACCAAGATACATAAGCAAAAGATCAATAAAACATAAAAAATGCAATTAAAGAAGTAGAGAAAAACTCTACAAAAATTCCACTGAGTTCATTTTGTGTTGATCAGTTACTCCTTGATATGAGTCCTAGCCTGAACTGTGACTAATACACCCAGTGAAACTCCATTGGAGAAGACTAAGTTTTTCTTTCCAAACAAGTGTGGGCTACAGATATCATCTTGGTTAGGGATGGGAGCCCATATCTACTTGCTCCCTCTTAGTGCTGGGAGCCCATATTTCTTGACCCTATGCAGGCCCTGGCATACAGCCACACTCTTTATGAGTTCATGAGTTTTTGCTGTGTCTGGAGAACACTGTTTCCTTGTGGTCCTCTATCCTCTGGCTCTTACAGTCTGCCACCTCTCCCACACAGCTCTCTGAAACCTGGAGAAGGAGTTGGTAAAACATCCCATTTAGGACTGAGTGTTTCAAATTCTCTAGCTCTCTGCACATTGACAGGCTGAGGGTCTCCATGATGGTTCCTGTTATTGTACAAGGGAGCTTTGATGATGTCTGAGGAAGGCACTGATCTGTAGGTATAGCAGAATGTCATATGGGTCATTTTACTGCTATGCTCCTTTAGAATAATGATTAGCACTTGGTTTTCACATGGCATATATAGTCTCAGGTTCTTGGACCCCTGACCAGTTTCAGGCGTGGATCCCATCTCATGGAGTGGGGCTTAAATCTAATTAAAGAGTGCTTGGTTACTCCCACATTTGTGCCATGATTGCACCAATATACCATGCAGGCAGATCACCATTATAGATTACATGTTTTAGGCTGGATTGATCATTACCTTTCCCCTCTGGTAGCATGCAGAGAACCTTCCAGTATCTTGAACACCAGTCAGTAGGACTGAAGATTCTAGTTAGGCCTTAGTTCAACTTCTCTATGTTCAATGGACTATAAGTGTTGTCTTTAGCAACAGAGCCTTGCTTTGCTATCAGCTGTGTAGTGAAACCAACAGCCTTGACAACAGCCCGAGTTGTTTGGGGGTTTCCATAACTAACTCAATTAGATGTAACCCATTCCTGACACAGGAGTTTCACTTAGTGGCAAAAGAAATCTACTTGGATCATTGTCTCCCTCAATTGTTCAGTGACTCTATTTAGATTTCCTTCATACATGTATGTATTTTAAGATGCTTCAACAGAAGTAGGTTTCCATATGATCCTTCAAACGTCTTAGGGTTACTTGTTCCTCCCTGTATTCCCTCTCTTACCCCCATTTTCCTCTCTCTCCTCATTTAATCCTCCCTTTCCAAGATCTCTCTGTCTCTTTATAATTACATGTTCTATTTCCTCTTCTTTGGGAGATACTTCCCTTCCCTCAATCACTTACTCTTTACCTAACCTCTGTGTTTATACAGATTGTAGCAACCTGTCTTGCTTGTAAGATGTGCTGGGACAATGGTGGCTCAGAGCTTGTGGGAGGTACCAGCCAATGTCTGGTCTAACTTGAAGCCTAAGTCATGAGATGGTTTCCATGCCTGATACTCTCTGGATGGCCAGAATCTATCAATAGGACAAAATGACAGCTCGTAGAATGAGAAAATATTTTCACCAACTCTGTATCCAGTAGAGAGCTAATATCTAAAATATATATAAAGAGCTCAGGAAACTAGACAATTTAAAAAGGGGTACAGATTTAAATAGATAGTTTTCAATAGAAGAATCTCAAATGGTGGAGAAACACATAAAGAAATGTTCAACATCCTTAGTCATCAGAGAAATGCAAATCAAAACTACTTTGAGATTCCATCTTACATCTGTTAGAATGACTAAGACCAAAACCACAAATGAGATTCCATGCTAGTGAAGATGTGGAGCAAGAGGAACACTCCTCCATCGCTGGTAGGAGTGGAAACTTGTACAGCCACTGTGGAAATCAATATGGTAGCTTCTCAGAAAATTGGGAATCAATCTACCTCAATATCCTGCTATCTTTTGGACATATAACCAAAAGATGATTCATCTTACTCACAAGGACACTTCTTCAACTGTATTCATATGGCTTTATTCATAATAGCCAGAAATTGGAAACAATGTAGATATCTTTAAACCAAAGAATGGATAAAGAAAATATAGCATATTTACATAGAGTTTTATTCAGCTTTTAGGGGGAAAAATGAAAAATAATGAAATTTCCAGGCAAATGGATGGAACTAGAAAAAAATCATCTTGAGTGAGGTAACCCATATCCAGAAAGACTAACATGATACATACTCATTTATAAGTGGATATTAGCTCTTATGTAAAAAAAAAAAAAGTCACACTACAACTCACAGGCCCATGGAGGTTAAATAAAGAAATGTCTAGGAGTGGATGCATGGATCTCCCTAGGAAGGAGAAATCAGATTTTGTGGGTAAGTCAAGGGCAGGTAGGAACGGGAACAGGAGGGATCAGGTTGGGGAGGGAGGAATGGAGGAAGAGAATATGAAGAGAGGTGCAGAGGATAGGTGAGCATTTAGGGGACTATGTGAAAACCTAGTAGAGTGGAAACTTCTGGAATCTATGAGGGTGACCCTAATGAGGAATCTTAGTAATGGAGGATATGAAGCCCAAACTGAGCATCTTCTATAGCCAAGCGAGGCTCCTATTGGTGGGACTAAGGCAGCAACTCAGCCACAAAATCTATGACCCACAACCTGTTATGCCTGTAGATATGCTGGGGTATTTGGTGGCTCAGAGCTTGTGTGAGTGGCCAACCAATGACTGGTCTAACCTGAGGCCCACACCACAAAAGGGAGACTGTGCCCAACACTGCCTGAATGGACAGGATACAGAGGCTGGGTACCTCAGAGACCCAGGGTAGAACCAAACATGACTAACCCTTTTGGGGGGGTCAAAAGTCAATGAAAAGATTCTTAATGATCTTTCTTATACTCATAGATTGGTGCCTAAGCCAACCATGATCAGAAAGGCTTCCTCCAGCAGCTGATGGGGCAGATACAGAGACCCACAGCCAAACATTAAGTGGAACTCAGGGAACCTGTAGTAGTGAATAGCTCTGAGCTCCCGTTGGGTGTTCAAGCTTCTAGCTACCTGCCAGAGTTCTTGGAATTCTTGAATGAAAGACAGACAGACAGACAGACACACACACACACACACACACACACACACACACACACACACACATCACCTTAATTTTGATATGCCTTGATTAGCTCAACAGTTGGGCACTTCCAAACCTCCTGGCTGCTAGCACACTCTCACCTCTGGTATTCCTGAGTTAACGCTTTCTAAATCTATATTTTATCTTCATTGCCCCAGACCCGAGAAGGGGAGTGGCCCCTGGGGCTGCTTCCCTTTGCACCTACATTTCTGGATGATTTCTCTCCTTCAGCTCTTAACATCCTTCAGCTCTACATCCGTGTCGTGGTGATTCTTTTCCTTTTCTTCTCTTCGTTTCTTGCCCTGGAATCCTAAAAGTTCCACCTCTTTCACTGTGCTCAGCCTTTGGTTGCTGGCTATTTATTGATTAATCAAAAACAAACTGGGGACAGGGACCTTCAGCATCTGAACATGTAGATTCTCCTGTGATTTGGGGAGCCATATTAGACAAAGTATAAGAACCAATCCCTAACAGAACCCTGCAGAAGAAGGAAAGGAAGGATTATCAAGCCAGAGGGGTTGAGGGTACTGTAACTTTTAATTTTTTCTAATCCTATTTTTAATGATGGTTCTTAAACACTTAAACCTTCCTTATAACCCACCACCCACCAGAGGTAGTGGAAAAGAAAGGATACGGGGGAATTGGACCTGTTCAGAAAGGCTCCCCAAAGCAACCCTGGTCTGTGTCATCTGGAAATTAGTTCAGTTCACAGGTTAGCAGGCAACAGCAGCTCAATCCATGTGCAAATACCTCACAGATACATCAACAATCCAGTTCAGTAGAGCTGAGTTAGCAACAATGGTGACATGACCTGGCAGAGGCAACCAGGCCTCAGCCTTGGCTCGAGTCAGCAGGAGGGACCAAGAGGAACATCAAGGAGAAGTTCTAGGCTGTGCCTATCTCAGGGAAGTGAAGATCAGCAAAGACTCAAGACCCAAAAGTGTTGTGCAGCCAGCTGTACCAGCAAGCCACGCTCTGTCTCAGTTACTCTGAAGAGTCCTATTTATACCCTCCAAACATCACGTGTTCTCCATGTGCCTTATCTCAGCATGTGTCTTGCCTCAGCACGTACATTCAATCAGCTCAAGTGCACAGAAGTGGCAACAAACTTCAGCACACCACCAGTTTTTTGGTGCGTTTCTCTCTATTGAGTCCCTACAAATGCAGCCCAACTATGCAATGTAGGGTGGACCAATACATGCATGTTGTTAGCAAAGAATCCCCATCCTGTGTCCTTTTACATGATTGCTTTAGCAGAACATCCTCTTTCCTCTGTCTGCTTCAAAGAAACCTTCCTTCACTAGTCTGCCTTGGCCTTTCACATCTGTTTCTTCATGTGTTGGCCCCAGCAAAACAGCATACAACTGACTTTCCAAAGAATCCTTAAATTTCTACTTCAGGGCACTATGAGAATACAACCCACAGAATCAACTAAGGAGGGTTCATAGGAGTTCACAC